AGTTGCTTTTTCTAAAGATAAGGTCTAGTTGTTTTATAATAGCGTAGGTTCTGCTATTTTATAGGAGTTGTTAGGGTTTATACTTTATAAAGAGTAGTAATTAATGTTACAATATTTGCATACTAGCCTTGCCTTATAGGTAGCGTTTAGCGCGCAGCTCCTAGAGAAGAAGAGATAGGTAAGAAGGACGCTCTTAGGTGTATAGGCCATAGCAATTGTAACGGCACAGGCAAGACAATAGGTCTAAATGCAGTAGGAATCCACTTAGAGGCATATGGGAGTACGTGGGGACTCAATGACTTGGGAATCCTATTAACACCTATAGGCCTTGTACAAAGGATATCAGAAAACTACTAAGCTAGCTACAGGGGCGAGGTGCGACTAAATACATGGGGGAATAGGGGTAACAGCAGGGGGCAGAGCAGAGTCGGGGCTAGGTTGAGTCAGGGTCGGGGCCGATACAGGGCCCTTTGTATAGGTTCGAGGCTGATACAGGGACCCTTTAGATAGGTTCAATGCGACCTAAGATGGAACAAGAAATGTTACACTACCCCCCCGTCTATTAACTAATAGTCTCTATTAGCAATTTAGGTAGAAAATATTACTGTTATTTCTTTTATTTTTAAACTTGACTAGGTTTAATTTAGCTAGGTGTTCTTACTCTAAGTATTCCTTTGCACTGCTAGCAGTGTCCTCTAAACTAACTACCACGCATGCGGTTATTAATTATTAGAGTAGCAGGTGTAATTTATTAATTAGAGACAATTTAGATTAGATAATAAGGTCTTTTCTATAAGTTCTTCTTTCTAGATTATACGCTGTAAGGTAGATAGCTTTAAAGAAGTTTGCACAGATATGTTTAAAACTATAGTTTAGTACTTATAGGCTAGAAGAAAGCTTCTTCTATTAGTAGAAAGACTAATCTAACTAGAATACTCTTCCTTTAATAGCTGCACTAATAAAGCGCGCTTTAAATGTAGAAAACGCCTTCTCTTTATCTATCTTAAAAGTCTAGAACACTTATTATGCCTTTGTCTTCTTCTAACTAGTAATAAAATAAGATTATAAGAGCTTTATTATATCCTCTACACTTATAAACTAAAACTAGTCTAATTTAGCTAGATATTCTAGCTCTAGATAGTCCTTCGCAATACTAGCTGTGTGTCTCTATATTAATGCTATATGTACGCGCTTACTTTAATAGTAATCTAAAGTAGTGTTAAGTCTATTTATAATAAAAGCTTACTATTATTTAAATGTAAGTTTTTTACTATTTATAAAAATCTTAATCTTAGGTGTGTGTTTAGTAAAGTAGATTTACTAGGTCTAAAAGGTGCCTAAAAAGTCTCTTACACTTAAAGTAGCAAAAGTAGTATAGAGCGTTATTAGAGGTAATTTAGTAGTTAGTAAGAGTTAACTAGTAGTTTTTAGCTAGATTAGCTACATAAGCTATGCTTATAATTAAGTAATCTAATTATTAATAAATATACTACTAAAGGTTAACTTTAAATTAAGTAGAAGTATAGCTTTAAGTGCTGTAAGAGTAGGTTTAGCTGTTAACATAAATTATTAATTAACTTTAAAAGGCTTACCTTAGCTGAAGCGTATTTTTATTCTAGAATTAAAGAGTACTTAGTTAGACATTAGTAGTTACTTTTAATTTAATAACTTATTAGTAGTCTTTAAGTTTCTACTTTAGCGTATTTTTTACAACTTTTCTAAAAGCAATTTTAATTATAAAGGATAAAAAGTTCTAAACTTAAAAGCTTTAGTTAATAGAAAGTCTCTAGTATTGTATCTATAAACTAAATAGTTTAATATAATACTATGTAAGTATTATAACCTAAACTAAATTAAACACGTCTTAGAGCTTAGACATAGTTAAATAAATAATTAGTGTAATATTATAATAAGGCTGTTACTAGTAATAGCAAGTCCTGTAATATAATGTAACAGCACAGGGAAGACAATAGGTCTAAATGCGGTAGGAATCTACTTAGAGGCATATAGAAGTGCGTGGAGACTTAATAATCTAGGAATCTTATTAACACCTATAGGCCTTGTACAAAGGATATTAGAAAACTACTAAGCTAGCTACAGGGGCGAGGTGCGACTAAATACATGAGGGAATAGGGGGAACAGCAGAGGGCAGGGCAGAGTCGGGGCCGATACAGAGACCCTTCGGACAGGTTCCGGGCGACCCGAGATGGAACGAGAATCGTTACAGCAATCCTCTAGTAGGTAAGAAGGAGTTAGAAGGGCAGAGCAGTTATAGTTCTCCCCTAATAACTATATAAGACAGTTAGAGGAACAATCTTAATATAAGATAATAATTAGATATATATATATATAGTATAAGATATACAATAGTATTAACGTTATTAGAAACTATTAATACTACTTAGTCTATATAAAGATAAACTAAGCATCAATTACAACCGTTAAATTATAGTTAGGATTAAAACTATATACTTCTAAGTTGCGCGCACTGCTTGTAGTGCGCGCGTTCTAAATCTGCGCGCACTGCGCGCACTATAGGCGGGTCTTTATTAGACAGAGCATTCTCTAATTATGTTGTCTAGATATTTAGACCGCCTTTTGTCTGTGTGGTCACGTGATCTCTTATGTTCTATTCCTAGCGGGTTTAGCCATTGATTAAACAACAGCGGGGAGCTTCCTTAGCCTAGGGTTACAGTCTAGTTGTAGGCTGTAACAGTAACTACTTAAAAGTAAGAAACACTTTTTAGATAGCTCTACATGTTTTAGCTCCCTCTCTGCCTTTAAGGTAAGATATAGCCTTATTAAAAAGTGCTAGTAACTCTAAGTACTTAGTAATAGTTGCTTAGTTATAGGTACTAAGGCTACCTTTTTTAATAAATGTTTAAGGTTAACTTTAGTTACTAGACTTCTTCTAGGTAGGTTAGTATTACCTAGAGCCTATAGCTACACTATATTCTGTAGTCTTAGTAGTTATATAGTTATTAAAAGAGACTTATAGCCTTTAAGCTTACTTAAAGTTAGTAAAGTAAAAGTTTTAGTATGTATTTATTAGTTTAAGAATTTTTTTAATTATGTAATTAAAAAAGTTTAAGTAGCTAGCCTTTTTTTTTTAATAAACTTCTTTAATAGCTTACATGCTTAATGTATATATATAAATAAAATGATATTAAAAAGTACACTTATTAGGCTTACCTTTTACTAGTTAGCTAAAAGCTTTTTTTTTATATAAAGTGTTAGCAAAAGTTAAGAAACTATATAAAGAATAAAAGTTAAATATATAATTATAAATTTTCTTTTAAGTTATTAAACACTTTCTAGTTCTTTTTTTATATAATCTGCTAGGCGCTAAGGTTAAGAATGTAGTATAAACAATAGAGTTGTTAGTAGTGTTAGTTAAAGCTGTACTTAGCTGCAAACTACTTAATTATTATTTATTATGTTATTAAAAATAAAGTAGCCTAGCTAGTCTTTGCTAATATTAAATATATATAAAGTTCTAGTAACTATTATAGCTATATTTAGTATAGTATACTTACTAATAAGAAGTAGAAAGCTAAGTATCTAGTTTTAAAGTTAACTTACTACATCTAAGTAGTGTATATAAATCTCTATTAGCGCGCGCTTACTACTAATTAACATATAGTTATAAAAGGTAATATAAATTAGTAATCAAAAGTAGCGTAAGTAATTATTTATAAAAAGTAGATATATATTGTACTTAGATATAATAAAGTCTTATAGACTAAATAAGCTTTGCTAAAAATAGCTTTTAGTAAAAAGTAATATTGCTTTAATTATTGTTTTAAAAGCTAGTATTTTAAGAACTCTAAGTGCTTAATTATTAGTAATTACCTAGTTCTGTACAGCTATTAGAAAGGCCTTCTTTAAGAAACTATCTACTAGCTAATTAGCTACTTTCTAGATAAGGTACACACTCTACTTTTATAGTAACACTACTATAAAAGTCTTTTATTTAACTAAGTAATTACACCTTTTTTACTAAAGCTATAGCTAGTAAGCTTTAAGCTAAAGTGCTTAATAATTACTAACATTAAGTGCTCTACTTTATATAGGCTAGAGGTGCTTTAATGCTAGTAGTAATACCTGCAAAGTAAGTATAGCTTATAATGCTGTTAATGCCACACGCGCTAGCTATAGTTAAACTCCTAACTAGTGTATAGTTGCCTAAGCCTATAGGGAGGTTTTTAGAGCTATAGAACATGTTGCTAGTTAAGCTCTTTATATTAGTTATTAATAGCCTGTGTTAAATGTAGAAGGGAGGTATTATCTAGTGCATTGTTAGAGGTTGTATTAGTAGTTATATTAGTGGCCGCATTAATACCTTGCTTAAAGAAGATGTTAACACTAGAGTCCTACAACTCTACTAGCTAGACGCGCTGCTTAAAGGCATTTTAAAAGTTTTTATTTATTATTAGTAATAACCTATAGTAGAAAGCAGAGAAAAGTTAGTAGTTTAGAAGTAGAATAGTTGCAGGTAAATAAAAAGTTACTATTACTAGAGTTACATAAAATGCTTAGTGCCCTTTTTAAAAGACTAAGAAATCTAGAAATAATTAGAATATAATAAAGCTGTACAGCCTTATAAATAAGCCTAACAAGCTAAGCCTAGCAAGCTAGAGCTTTTTAGCTTAATTGCTTGTTACAATTCACCCTCTTGGCTTGCTTAGCTTGCTTGCTTATATAGCAAGCCTATCAAGCTAGCTTGCAATCTTGCTTGATTGTTGAGAACTCTGAACTCCATTTCTACTATTTTTTTAAACACCTAGAGGGCACTTTATTAATTGTTTCAAAGCACGGGAGGCGGATTTCAACTTTCATGTGTAACTGGCACAGTTTATGCCTCTATAGGAGACCCATCACCGGTATCAAACTACCAATGCTGGCCGAGTTGGACAAATGGGGATTGGGCCGCAACCCGCTCGGTGCCCCTTTCATCGTCTAGGCCCTCGCCCTCTCCAACGTCACCCCCAATCCTCCCTATGAATACAGCCGCTAGTAGCGGAGGAAGCGGAGAGGGCAATAATAAAAAGAGCAAACTAGCAGGCCAGATAGTTGGTCCTATCGGAGGCATGATTGTCCTCTCCTGCATCCGCTCATTCTTCATCATCAGATGTAAGAGGAACAAGAGGAGAATTGAAGAAAAGCGCAGGACGAGCACAGTATACGTCGATCGGGACGGGAACGAATCGCACATAAAACAGCAAGGACATCGGTCCGAACGAGCGTTCCCAGCGCCGCCCGCGTGGCCTTTAGGACATGAGAATATTTCACCTGGTCAAGATCAAGGTCACCCATATGTAGGAGCAGATCATGGCATGGGAAGGCATGGTACTGCTCCGTACAATGAGAGTTCAGTGGATCATAGCCGCACCGAGTCTGAGCAAGTTAGTCCGATCGGCAGCACTAGGCGACGGGAGGGCGGGAGAGATATGTGTTGTCCAGTTCCGGGATCCTATTGACAAGGGAAATTAACACCCTCGAGCTCTGAAGATTCTTGTAATATTTCGTAGGCCGTGTGAAATCTTTTTCTTTCATATCTTCAAACATTTGTCTTGGAATCCGGCCAAAATTTATATTTAAAAATATCCACTAGGACGCCTCTTCAATGTTCAGCATGGGTGGGTGGCTAGGCCATGTGTGAGGAGCCATGGATTTGGTGTGTGACCATGGGTGGGGCTTGGTGGAGGAGTATGGTAATCTGGAGCCGAGTTGACAGTTGACGGGTGAGCTTATAAGGAGTTTGCTATCAAACCAGTCATTGGCGCTTTTCAGTATCATGGAGTCGTCTCGAGATGTGTGAGTGACCAGTTCCGGTAGCTCAATTAAATCTCCGAGTCAACTAAACTACCCTATTGGGTATAGACCCTACCCGATCAGGCATAGTATATGCCTGAGGCACCACCCATGGCCGGCCAAGCGCCCTTGGGGAAGTCCACCACCCATGCCGAACACTGCTGCGGCTTTGGCCACCCGATTTACGACTGAGATTATAAATGAAAACGTCGCACCCATGAAGTTGAGCGAAAAGGAGACAGAAGAGTCAGGCCGTAGGTAACGGTAGTAATGTGGCTGGTGGGGTAGTGCCGCTTGTCGCACGTGTCTCACGCGATATCATACCCATGTACTGCACTATTCACTCATTAGGCATAGCTCCTATCTCGTACAGTATATAGTCAGCTTAGAGCTCTATCGAGCTCCTCAGACCTTACAATACACTCATTCCACCTTGTTTGGATCTCGATCCCTTGTCGAGTCGTTTGCCATATGTCCCCTCCTCAGCTCATGCAAGAGTTATGAGCCCGGAGTCGCGCTCCTGACTAGTCCTCTAGTCACCACTGCACAGTTAGCTTTTGCATCTAGCTTCAGGGCCCCGCGAACCTCGACACATATCGATCACAGATTGCTCACCACTTGAGCCC